AATCAGAATCCATCGTCATAATTTAATTATATGCTGAAAGCATGACAAACTATTATATGTTGGACTTTTAACAATATATAATGATTTGAGAATGTGATCGTATTTTATAAAATACTTAGACGTTTTATAAAACGACTATATATATATATATATATATACATATATATATGTGTGTATATGTATATATAAAATATCTTTATATCAATATTTTTATATATGATATCAGATAATATATTCCAGTATAAACGTTTTAATTTTTCTTAATAAAACAAAATTTCTTGAAAAACAAAAAAAATTACTATTCTACGAGCGTATACCACAAATTAAAGGCAACTAATAACTCTAATTATGTAGAAAAAGAATGTTACGCTGTTGATTATAACTATCCACTTTATTTGTGATACAAGCTGAGTTAAGAATTTACAAATATATATTATAAATAAATATTATATATATTTATAATGTTATAATATTATATATTTATAATATTATATATATAAATATATGTATATCATAATCTTTTTCTGAGAAAATAATACAGTAACTATTCGACGTGCTTTTCAACATCCTTTTTTGTTTCTGTTTTCTTCATAACAGTTCCAACAACTTTATTAATTTTACTCGAGTCAGAGATAGAAGGCTTAGGTAGAATATTGTTGGAGGAACTCGACTGTAGCATCTTCATTATTTTAGCGCCGCTGTATTTAACAGATTTTACAAATCCCGCTGTTACAATTCCTTTTAAGCTTTGTGTTACACTAGATCTCCAAACAATTTCTTTCAAACATTGCTCTAATATCTCGTAGCATTCTGGATCGTGTGCTATAGCATGCAAACAATCTTCTGTATCTTTTGATCTTGGGCCCTGAGACCATGCTCTGACTAGTTTAACCTGCGGTATCCTGGGTAAATGATTCAAATGATGGATTTTAGTCGCTGGACTGATATCTTGATGACATGTAACAGTCATATCTGACTTTGGAATATTTATATAATCGTCAAAGTGTTTCAAGATTGGTTCATACAATTGTTTAAAATGATGCAATTGTGGTAGCACGATATTACTAATTTTATCTTTGTTCTCGCCAAAGATCATTCGAAAATCACCATGATAGGACAGACTGGTGATCTTCTTAAAAAAGTCAATCTCTGTGAAATGCTCAGGCAGTAATAGCAAGGCTGCATGTACAGCCGAATGCAAATTCTGCACTAGAGCAGTGCGCAGTTGAGAATTTTCATCTGGTTCCACAATTACTTTAACCGGTTTATGTAATCTTCCTGCTAAGTACAAATCATTCCAGTCTAATAAATCTTCCACCAATGAAACCTCAGAAATTACTCCATATTTTATGAGTTGACCTTGGCTTGTTTTGACCAATGTGTTATAAAATATTTTAGCACCCAATCCTTCTTGCATGTTTGTGATTACTTTAGGGCCAAGGAGTCTCAATAGTTGAGCGTAATGCTTGGAATTATTTGCTAAATTCTCTGCATGCCATTTGTTGGCGTTACGTACAACAAATATAAGATCCAGCATGTTATTGCTGTCATTATTAGCCTGTTTAAACGCACCTGATCCATAAGCGAAGCAGAATTTCATATTTCTAGGAAACTCTCTAATTATGTGTTTCAATTGCGACATCTCAGTGATTTTTTCCAGCATTTTGAGGTAATTATTCAAACCTTTGGCTTCTTGATAAATATGTTCCAGCTTATATAGATTACATTTAATGCCATGTAACTCTTATATTGCCTGATTTAATTTTAGCTCGAACGTATCGAAGAATTCGCTTTGTTGAAAGATGCTTAGAATACAGTTGACATTATGATTCGCACCATGGAGCTAGATGATTCATGTCGTGGCAGTCAATGAAGTCCGAGGAATGCCAAATGAATGTTGATCAACAACTTTCGAGCTTTCACAAGCGTCTTTCGTAAATGGAGTCCACGTGTTTGAGAGATCACGGATCTCTATCGGACTAATCGTGTCGTGTCTCGAGTCTCGAGGCGATCGCCCATTTAACCTAAAAACGCAGTTGATAAAGTTCGATTTCGAGTTACTTACTCAGAAAAAGATAGGATATATTTTCTTTCGCATCGAGATAGAGTGGTTTCTGTTCGTATCGAGTAAAATACCGGAGCCAATTTTAGTTGGAGCCTTTAATTTTTAATTTTGAACGAGAGCGAACGAACATATATACGCGCACAAATACACAGCGGGATCGGGATCAGCTCGCACTCGGGTACGAGAGTATAAGTATATACGTGCCTTGATTTACACGATAATAAATTATGTATGATCGCGACTGGACTTTTGCACGATAATCTTTCCGCTGACTAGGCTTCGAGTATATTCGCGATCACTTCCACACGATCGAACGCGACAGAGGTTTTATTTATTGCCACACGTAACCACACACGTGGATCGATAAAAGACGAATCGAAATATCTGATTACCTCTTATAATCGCGATACGTTGATGGAGTTCCACAAATCTTCTCGCAAACGACTCCAGACTTATTCGATGGGAAACAAAACGTGGGACTGCACTGGACGTTGTGTAGCGTCGTGCGTGTCTCTGGTTCGTCGTTCGACTCTCGGTTCATCTAAAGTTAGAAATATTCTGGCACAGCGTGTACTCTCAACTTCTGTCTTGGAAACATTTCAATTATGATCAGGAATCTGACTGTACTTTCGAAAAAATTGTCAAAATTATTAGGACAATATATATTTCGGTGAGAAGTAAGGCGACACTAAAATCACGATTCAAATTTCGTCGGAAGAGATAGATCGAACTGAAGTAAGTTCCGGATTCAAGGGCTGAATTCGAGATGTTCGGAGAACATGACTTGGCAAGAGGTAACGATCCACGAAGAGGAGTTTCAAGTACCAGTTTTTCCATATATTTGTCGATATTACTTTCTTATCAGTAACAGATTTACATTTTCTTCAGGTTTCTTCTGATATTCCTTGATATTCGGTGTTTTAGCTCTTTACGAAAATAAAAAATAGTATTTGAAAAAATAAGCAGAGAGAGATTCACACATATACACATACTGTATTTTACACTTTTTGAATTCAAAATGGGCTACTTAGGTAAAATTAGATATAAGCCTAAAGCATTGGAGAAAAAAGGAAAAGTATAAAAGATGAAAAGAATATATTTGTATATATATGTAATTTAAAAATATTTGGTACTGTATCGCGCGAGAGACAATTGTATTTCGAGAAATCGATCTCTCTCAAATTCCCCCTCCACATGTGCGAAGCTGAGAATAGAAAGAATCGACGCCATGGCCGTCCGTATTGGATCTCGTTGATCATTCAAATCAACATTTCATCGATTTAGAGAGAAAGAGATTCGTGTCTCTAGTCTTAGCGACGCATTTAATCCTTTCTATCCGGATCTGTTTATTCTGCGGGAGTTGCTGAATTCCACAAAAAAATACAGCAGAAGGAACGGTAACACAAAAGTGACATGGAGGTCGATGTGCCTACAGACAATACAAACGAGCAGACGCCGATGGAGATCGACGAAGACACCTCCGAGAGGAATCCGAAGGTATCCGGAAGCGTTAAGGTTATGGCGTCTTCGGGCACTGTCGGTTCCGTGTCCATCAGTTTGCATCCGCTGGTGATCATGAATGTCAGTGAGCATTGGACCAGACTCAGAGCTCAAGAAGGCAGTGATCAATTAGGTAAGAAAAATCCTTATTTAAAAAGTAAGACAAAATTTTAACATAGATATGAAAATTTGTATTTTAATTAATTTATATATTGACAATTCTAAATTTGATTTGACGCATATTAATATACACAATCAAAATATGTAATTTCTAAAAAAAAATATATATATATATGTATTTCATAAATTTTATTAATAATATTCTATGCATTAGCGATATATCATTTCTGGTAATGAAATATTTTCAGTATACGGTGCTTTAATTGGTAAACAGAAGGGTCGTAACATAGAGATTATGAATTCTTTTGAATTGCTGTTTACATGCATTGGCGATGATGTTGTAATCGACAGAGATTATTATAATACAAAGGAAGAGCAGTTTAAGCTAGTCTTTAGCGAAATGGATTTTTTGGGCTGGTATACCACTGGTGATATACCCAATGAGAGAGATATTAGAGTGCACAAACAACTTTGCGAGATAAACGAAAGCCCTGTATTGTTAAAACTAGATCCGAGACCAAAAAACACAGAGGTAAGTTTATTAAAACATTTCTAGAGAGAAAACCTTTTCTTATTAAATAAATAAAAGAATGTTATATCTGAAAAAGTATGATGATTATTGCAGCACTTATCTGTCTCTATGTACGAATCAGTAATTGATTTAGTTAACGGCGAAGCTACCATGTTATTTGTTCCATTAACTTATACATTAGCCACAGAAGAAGCTGAGAGGATTGGAGTTGATCATGTACAAAGGATGTGTAATAATGAACAAGGGGAATGCTCAGTAGGTGAGTAATATGCAGACAATTTATATACTTTGACAAACATTGTTAGAATCGATAGTACATAAATATTATATTTCAGTGGCTGAACACTTGACAGCTCAACACAGTGCCATTAAAATGTTGCACGCGAGGGTAAAACTTGTTTTAAGATATGTGCAAGCAGTAGAGAGTGGGGAATTGAAAGGAAATCATGAAGTTCTTCGAGCAGCTTGTTCTCTGAGTCATCGATTGCCTGTCCTAAATAATCCGAAATTTAAGGCTGACTTTTATAATGTTAGTATATATTTATATGCTCTGAATTTATAGGTTTAGTCACACACTTTATAATAGTATTTTTTTAAATAATGTCTTTTTGTATTTTTTCAGCAATGTAATGATTTTGGCTTGATGACGTATCTCGGTATTATAACTAAAGGCTGTAATAATATAAATCAATTTGTAAACAAATTCAACATTCTGTACGACAGACAAGGCGTGGGACGACGTCTACGAAGTCTCTTTTTCTGATATGTAAATAGAATCTGTTGTTTTTATATATGGTCTTTTTTACTTCTTAAATAAGTAAGTACCAAACTCAGGATTAAAATTTAAACAGCCAATTTAATTGAGGGATAGTTTGAATACTACTGTAGATATATATTGTGTATCGAGCACATAAATAAAAGTAGAGAAGTTATGCAATTTTTTTTTAAATCAAAGTTTAATAACAAATGAGAGAAAAAGTGGAAAAAATGGAATTATCCGAAACATGCATTATCTCGGTAATATTATCCAGAAATAATATTTATGTTAAATACTGTTGTATATATAAATGGTATGTTTAATACATTTTGATTAACAATAACGTGTGATATTAATAAAAACTGTGATGCGTTCCAAGAGATATTTTATTTTATATTAACATCAATTTAATGTTTAGTCAACACAAGAGAAAAATAAAATTTATATTGCAAATTATATACATATTAAAATATAATCAGGAAATCTCGAATAGATGCAAAATTCTATATATATTGTGATATAAATTTATTAATATATACTTCATATATATATATTCTGCACATTTTAAATATATATATATATATATTTTTTTTAACACTCCTATCATTGCTCAAAATGAGAATTATGTAGAGAGTATATATATTAATTTAGGACAGATACTTTCACATGTTTCGCTTTAATAATGGAAGACCTCTTTTTAATTGATTTACACACTACAAAGCATATCTTTTTCTTCGTAGGCCATATTACCCACTTTTTATCGAGTTTATGATTTTATAGCAGCGATATATGTATATATGTAAGTTTCATCTTTATAAAAAAATGATCTATATTAATATTTTATTATAAAATACTAAAAGTTCCCTTCTAAAAATCTATTCACATATTACATATATATATACATATATAATCCGATTTAAATAGAACGCGACTTAAAAATATTGTACAAAATATATAGTTTAATATATTGTGCCTCATTAATTATTGCATGTAACTGTATATCCCACCAAACAGTTACTCGTTCCATACAACGTAAAACCAGAATTGACTTCTAAACAAGTGACATGATTAGACCATGAAATTGTAAAGAATTTCTCATGCTGTCAACAATGTGTCATTAATGACACAACACTAAGCTTCTGGTATATCACGCATTATTTTTTTTTTTCCTCCTACATTGCTTCTTGGAAATGCAGCAAGTTCTTATAATGCAATCTGATCAGACAGCATGTCTCTATTCTACAGACTAGAAAATATCGCAGCGACTATACATTTTTCTCTATTTGATATATTGCCTTGTACGACGAATTGTGCGAGTTTGCCTGATATCATTTTGATATGCTATAGACGAGAATAATTTTGAACAGAAAGTGAAAACAAGGATCGATCTTTTTTTCGCTGAAATAAAACTCGTATAATACGTTTTGCCTACTAAGACTACGCTTATACGAATTACAATTATATAATTCTCGATCTTGCGCGTTTAATTCTACAGTTAAATATATATACCCGTTTATTCTTTTTCTTCTTTTGTATATATGTATTCCTCTCGCGGGAGAGCATGTTTATATATTAGGCTCTCAAGCTGTCCTCGATCATGGTAGCCAGCACGTCCACCAGAACGGACAGCATTGAATCGGGCTAAGGACTCGGTTTGTCCATACCAATAATTTCCTCAAAGAGACTGTTCCTTCCTTCCATCTGTTCTTCGATTATTTGCCCGGCATATTTCAATGTCGCGGCAGCCAGATCGCCCACCGACCAACGTCTGTCCATCAAAACTCTGCTTACGGTATCTAACTGAAAATTTTTAGTAATGAAAATTTACGCAAAATCAATAAAAAATTGATATTGTTATAATATCGCTTTTTTTACCTTAGATAGACTGGGATTGCCAGAAGTATAATAGATTAATCTTGGTGCTCCTGCCAGGGAAGAGGCGAGCCATTGAATTACGAGTTTTAATTGCGGATCGCCCTTCAACCTAGTCCCGCATCCCCAGTTGCCTGTAGCTATGGGCAATAAATCCCCTCCTTGAGGACTGTTCTCCTGCGGTAACTATGCACACATTAAAATATGTATTAAATTATTATTTTGTCTTGTAACATTTCAATAATTTTTGATATAATTAGTAAAGATTTAAAATTTTTGCCGTTCGAAATGTGATTATCGAACACTAACGACATTGAAGCTCTTAATAATGCACATAACATAAGCTAAATAAAATACAAAATGTTGTTATTGTTTTAGTTTAACATAAGGAATTATACTATTTTTTATTTAATGATAGAGGAAGAAGCGAATGTGTGGATGGTACTTTCGCTTGATAGTTAATATATTGAATAAAAAACAAGAAACAGGAAATGTGAGTAAAGAATTGTAAAAATCAGATAGAGTGAGAGACAGATAAATGAATTAGTTGTAAAGGTTTCAAACGTGTCAGATGAGAAGCTGATCTCAATCTTCCGTCATGCACCAAGTCGAGAAGACGGAAACGCGAAATCTCTCGAACAGTCTTATCTCGAAGAGTTATATTTTATCGAAGAGAGTCCTTAAGCCAGTTGCACTGCCTCATGCATTGCGATTGTACACGTGATGCGGTCAAGTTACATCTCTAAATCACCTCCGAGATACCGAGCACGCTTGCTTCGCGCATCTCACACTTGTTTGTTATTTGGCTCGACTCGGACATTGGCGGTGTAGATAGGCATACGGTCGTCTGATCATCAACCAACGTTTGGAACACTTCTGACGTGAACGTGACGGCCCAAAGTTTCCTACGTTGGGCGTCCTTCGCCTCTCTTACCATCTCGCTCGAGGCATCCTCATAGCAATCTACATCTTCGGATTCAATCACCTGTACAGCATTTCAGGCTGCCTGTAGTCTAAACTCGAAACCTTCATTTACCGATATTATATTGCCTTATAGATTGATTAATTTCTCTCGATCGAATCGATTTGGACTGTCTCTCATTCCATCTTAATATATTTACTATGAGATTTTGAAGATATTTATATGTTTATATTTTGAAAATATTTATATGTTTTTATATTATATACAAGTGTATTTTTTTAATTCGTGATTAAAGGACAATCAAATACGTATTAAGTTTATTAGTTCTCTGTCTTCAAAAGAAAGCACTTAAGAAAGCATAAAAGAAAGAAAGTTTCAATTTGTTGTCTATTATAACAAAATACGAGGCTATTAAAATTTTTTTTACTGATAAGTGTTTATATTCCAGAAATCAAAAAAAGTTGTAAACGCATTTGTAATTATTTCCACAAAATATGATGAATCTTGTCACTCATGCCGTTCTAATTCAACGATTTTTGCAGGAAAACCTAACAGGTTTGCTGTTCCTTACTGATTGTTGTCGTCGATTTTTTTGTCGGGCGAGCTCTAAGCTGAGACTCCTCACGGCTAAAGCCAGCTTGTGTTGTTGGCTCACATCGTTCGCATCGATGAACGGCTGCGGTTCGCCTTCTTGAAGCGGCACACCGGCAAACGACTCGCTTAGAGCGCGTTTCAGAAGTGAACCGGCGAATCGTACGACCGCCCGATCCCTCGCATCCAATTCCCTGCTCTCATCCGCCACTATCGGATCCTCCAGCCACTTTGACAATTGCTCATAGACCTCCTCCAGTTCGGAACAGAAATCTGCGTAAGTAAATTTAAACTTTGTTTTTAATTTATTTACTATTGCCGAAAACAAGCATCGTTCACCTACAAGCGATGTCTTTTGTATACTTGCCGGAATTATATTCCGTGCTGAAACTATATTTGCTACTTGCGCTCGTATCCTTTCTTTGAAACATGGGTCCCTGACTTTGCCGAAATCGGCCTAGCCACTTTTGCTCGGCCTCTAGAGATTCCTTCAGGAACTCTTCGTCTACCGTCTCGTCCCGCAAAACGAAACCTCTCGAGCCTCCTCTTCTTACCCTGCAACATTGCATTCTCCATTAAAATAATATAATTACAAACATTTTATAACTAAAAAACGTAATAAGAGAGAGAGAGAGAGAGAGAGAGAGAGAGAGAAGATATTTATAATTACTTTTTACGCGCAATTAAAAGACAATTAAATATGAGTATTCAGTTTATTAGTTCTTTGATTTTATAAAAAGCATTTAAAAATGCAAAAAAAGTTTCGATTTGTTATTATGGCGCAATTATCTCTCGTACATATATTATATATATGCACATACACACATATATATCTTATATGCAGCCTATATTGCACAAAATGGAAAAGTAATTAAATGACGCCTAAGAATCACACATTAGGTCTCCCGACATAATATTTTTTTACTATACAAAGATTTTATAATAAATTATTATATTTTCTATTATCTATTACAGACAAAAAAATATCGGGACCTTTTTGTTTTCCGGGCGACTGCTCTTACCATTAAGCTATCCAGGTCCCATACAATTAATATTCTTTCGCATACCCAGTAAAGTTAGAAATTATCGGGTCGTCCTTTTTCGCCGCGCGCTTATACTCACGCGAATTATTCGATCTTTTTTTAATTAATTTCTCAATAATTATTACGAAAATCGCAAAATGTAAAGGATTTTTTCTTCTCGGTTTCACCTACTCTACCTGCACACGAGAGGTGATACAGTTATTATAGGACATCCTGTATATACAAAGAAAGAATATTATAGCATGGGTGACTGGACCCGGGAATTGAACCCAGGATCTTTCACTTACCGGGCAAGTGTTCTTATCATTAAACTACTTAGGTCCTATGTATTATTGAATATTTTTCCACTCATATATATGTAAATAAATATCTAGTGGCGCCGTATATCTATTTGCGGGAATTCAACTCACTTGATATCTTGATCGCCGACATGGCTACCGCTAACACTTATACCAACGGCATAACTGCTCTCACCGGAGGAAGTGTCCGAGGAAGTCATTCCGCCGGTTGCCGTGCTCTCCCGCTTCAGAGCGTCTTTCAATCGCTGCGCGAAAGTTCCTCTTCTCTCAGGCGTATCTAATTGCGCGCTATAACGTTTGTTAAGCTTTTGCTCCTCTTCCTCTAAAAGTCGTTTACTCGATATAAAAACTGCTCCAAGTTTCAGATTTATTTAAAATATAATGTCCGTACACATACCAGGTTCCTCGTCGATGGTCTCCTTGGCACTATGAAAACTGTCCGTGCTCTGACTGTTGCAACTGCTGTAGACCGACATCTGACCGAGCTGTCGCGTCACCGGCAGAACCTCCCCGCTGGATCCTAGCACGATAAATCTATTCCTTCGGTTCGTGCAGCTCGCATCCTTGCACACTTTGTGAGGACTCGGCGGTCTCATCGATTTACCGTTAGGCCTGCTACGCACTTCCGCCGTGCTCTCTAATTTGTGATACTCGTCGCGCGGAAGCTGCTTATCTGGCAGAAGAAAGAAAAATGAAAATTATTAGACGTTAAAGGAATATATATGTATAATTTGAATAAATTATATAAATTACACATGGATCGCCCTTCTCCACCGGGTCACCTACCTATTTTGGAATTACTGCTCGCCGCGAAGACTTTTTCCTCGCTCTCCGTTTCCGGCGGGGTACTGCTGAAGCTTTCGCCGATCGGTGACAATCTGCGAGAGCCTAGGCCGACCTCCGCATCCGGATGATCCATCTTGATCGGATCCGTAGGGCTACTGGGCATGTGTCTTTGACGAAATCCCAACAGCGACTTGTTCATCTCCCTCAAAATATTGTCCTCCTCAAATTGCGTCAACGGTAGTCGCGAATAATCCTCGGGGTCTATGCAGCAGACCGTTACCTGCGCTCGGAAAACTGTACGATTGTTCATCTTCCCATCTCCGCGAATAACGTAAATCAAACTGCGCGTATTAAGAATCGTATTTCACTCACCACGTTCGGTTTCGAGATATTCTCGAATATCGCCTTGTGCCGCGGATCATTTATCCTCGACATGTGCCTGACATCCTCGATTATCAATACTTCGTTGTCTTCTAAGGCCTCGACAGATAGTATCGCGGCGAGCATTTCCGGATGCGTCGCCAACTGAAAAAGGATATTCGAATCAATGTGATAATTTCACTATTCACATAGTTGCATTTCTCAATTTTTTTAAAATAAAATGGAAAAGATATTTCTTTTTTTTTAGATAAAAAATGGTCGTTTTTAAAAAAATTAAATTTTTGATGCGATTCTAGAAATCGTGCAATTTACTGCTATTAATCTATGTACGCCGATACATGCATAATGTAGGAATTTTAATAATAATTTGTCTTAATTTACATGTACAGTCTCCTGCGTGATATCGCCATCGAGCACACCGCCGCCGATCTTAGCGTTTGCAAAACAAACTTGCAGCACTTTGGATTCCATCTCAACTCTCTCCAACCGACCCTCGTGACGTATCGTCAGCGGACATAAAGGTACATTACTTTCCAACCAATCTTCAATGGTTAGCCATTGCCTAGATGTCATCACCTATAAATTGTATTAAAAACGCATCTTTTATATTGCAAACTATTCTCACCAAAAAAAAGAAATTAACAAAGAATCCAAAATTTAAAAAAAAAATGACTACTAGATAAAAATTCTAGGAAGTTTCAGTTTAATTATTGTACCTGTCTTGAAATTATCAGACGACCATCGAGTGCATGTTCCGTCTCGAGATAGTTATAATAATGAAAGATACTTTTGAGTTTGGCTTTCTGCGCGTTTCTGGAAAAGAATAAAGTACTTTGGAAATTATGATCCTTTTTTCTTTTTTCAGATTGAAAGCAAACGGAAAATTTCTTTGAGAATTTAATCTCGAAAATCACTCACTTGTAAAGATGTCTGAAGAAGTTTGTAAAATTGAAATCGCGCAATGTGGGATGTGTCTTTGTGGTTCTTTTCGGATACGTCGAGAAGAACGCGTTTGCGATTAAGGAGGAGACGAAGGCGTAACTGTATTCGACACTATCACCTGTGTAAGATAAGTAACCCTTATTTGAAACTTATCTCTTCTCTCGCGTGAATGCGCTATCTTTATTTTAAATAGTGTGAAGGGCATGTGTATAATGAAAAAGATATATATTTTATAATATATGAAATTGCGATTTTCGGGATATCTGGGAGAATGTCGAATCTCGTGATAGCGATACCTTGCTGCTGCAGACTAAAGTGTAAGCCTTGCGGAGGTTTAGTATATTTTAAATCCTTAGCTCTTTCCACCATTCGCGGTATTGTCTTCGTGAACACCTGCTCCCTTTCCACAGGATCGAGATCTTTATTTAAGAAAGTCCCCAACATGGAAAATAAATCTGCGTCCTGCATGTCTTCTTCGGGATCGAGACTTATACTGAAAATAATACAAATATATAACAATTGCAACCTACTTGTAAATTATTTAATCTAGATTATATATATATTTAATGTAAAGATAAGCGCATATATCTTAGAAAATAACGATTGAAAACACAAGTCATACTTGCACATATCATGCAATCGTTGCATCGCATCTATTAGGTCCTCGGAATTTTTTGCCAGGGCGGCTTTATCTAGTTGTTTCACCACAGCCGGCCACCAAGGCAGATCACATGGTAACATTACTAGAGCCATTGTGGATCTGCGAAACGCATAAAAGTACTCAAAATGTGCAACTTAAATAGTGATCATAATAATTGTTAGCAATTTTTCGTTTCACAAGGTTTCACAAGGTAGAAACTAATATTACAATTTATGATGCATTAACTCGAGCGAATCTGTACTTTGAAAGCGCAGTAATCGATTTGAATTTATAGTTGGCGTGATATGTCAAAGCTATGCGCGTGATGGACTTACAAAAGTAGCGCGATCGTAAAATATAAAGTCGAACTGGAAAGCAAATTATTTCTTCCCTACCTATAAATCTTTTATTCCCATAATCTTATTTTGATGCATTTATCTACAATACGCAATAAAAATTTAGTTCGATTATTGTACCAATCATCTATGATTATATGGTTTACATTACAATTTTTATGATCAGAGAAATTGAAATTTTACATTCGAACTAATATGTTATTAATCTTTCAAAATCTCCGATTTTGAATATTTAGATTTTTAAAGCCTGGAAGTTTTAATACTTAATATTTTTTTAATTTTAAATCTTAAATTTTAAAGGAATTTCAGATGTGCTGATTTTAATACTGAGATTGCACAATCTATTATTCTGGATGTTTAGATTCTAAATTACAGATTCTAAAATCTTGAATCTTAAATATGTCTAGATTTTTTTAAATATCGATTCTCATCGATTTTAAACGTTCAACAGATTAGACACAAAACATTCTGGATTCTCTTATATATATATTTTGTAAAAATCTTTATATATATATACATGTATATTCGTATTCCCTCTTGAAGAAATATGTACGCAAGCGCAGGTCGGAGGGTTGGCTGGTTAGTAACCTCGTCGCACGAGGCACGAATATAATTAGTCTCTCTCTTTCATCAGGAAGGAAATTCACCGTCCGTCAATGGGAACCACGGGACGATCGCTCCGCGTATTTCCAGCGCAATCCGTTTACATAATCACCTCTCTTATTTTCAGCGGCCGAATCAACTGATAGACCAGCTGTATAAACGGAGTCACGTCTTGCGTTCTGCCGACGCGACGACGCCGCATTCGATCACTGACGACGACGACGACAATCTCAGTGTTCTGATCCCCGCGAGACACCGGCACATAGTCGAGATACGAATGAATTCTCACACTCTTGATTGACCGTCCTAGCTATCTAAGCCGATCCTCAAATTTAAGTATATCTCCAGTATCAGGATTTCTCGTTACAAATCTCAGAAACAATTGTGTTCTTCTGTGACATCGCGACCTTTCGCGAATAAATTTCTAAATGCAATTGTAGAACTCTTCTTTGTAAATGATTTTTAAAAGCTAATTCTGGAGCGTTCGCTCGTCGTTGGCTTCATTCCTTCACGTCACTTGCGTTGTGTCAACTCACGCGAACTCGAGTTTTTTTTTGGAAAAATTTGGAGAACCCTCGGAGTGTCTCTCACGTCACCCCTTTGCCGGCTCGATTGATCGTCGTCGCGGCCGGATCGGAGCTGACGAATAGCCTACCCGTTACTACTATCCGCCGCCGCGACTACTATCCGTTACTACTACCGCTGCGCCGCTCGCTGTCCGTAACCACTGCCGCGCGCCGCTCACCCCCTCGCAATCACCCCTCATACTTCCACCGTCTTTGTCGCTATTTTGTCTGTTACGAGCGGCGGTCGGCGTCGCACCTGCTATTTATAGAGATCGGCGCCGGCGCCCTGCCAAACTCTATATAGCTACTCTACATAGTGTGTAGTAAGTCAAAAATTGACCAAGTCACCCCAGCCAGATCGTTGGACAAAACGCTACGTCATACATTTACGATTAAAATTTGATAATGCATAAGAGTGTTATATATACATATGAAATTTTAATTATATCTTTAGTAGTCCCTTAAATATATAAAATTTCTAATCCATTTTTCGAACATGTAGAATTTGAAAAACAGATTTTTATATTTGAATATAAAATTATTACATGATTGATCTGAATATATTCTGATCGAAGTTAATTTAATATTCTGAATTAGACACTTGACTAATTTTTCAAAAAATCATAATTCTAAATCATATATAGCACACAATGATCTTTTGAAGGGACTGTGTGTGATACATCAATCTTTTCACATAAATGTTTTTATGAAACACATTTTTGTGCATTTAAATACTATGTGTGCATAAAGATTTGTTATCCAAATACAACCTTATACTGATGGCACAGTATGTATAACTTTATCTATGTCAAGATTAGAATCATATGTTATCAAAGAATAGGATATTCCGCCTCGTCTCTTCAAGAGATTTTTTGGAGTGACAAAATATCGATGTAGAGGAGTACTACTCTGCCGATAGTAGGTCGCAGAACTTGATAGGCACGAAATAACAAAAATAAAAATCAATACGACAGGTTGTTATTTTTAAATTTAGAAATATATTATGCTTGCAAATTAGGATATAATATAAACTATCGTTTTCTTTCAGCACTATAATCAATCTTCAATAAAGACGCATCTGACCTGGCGAGAAAAGCTGGTAATTTGATACTAAGCTAGCAGTGGCAAATTATTGGCAACTCGCCATTAGCAACCTTGTACCAGATTTATTCAACGTTTACTCATAACTATTTATATGTATATTACACATTTGTATATTTGCGTTTTATCTTCGATACGCTCTGCCGATTCTTTAATGACGTAACTATTAAATATGCTAACTTTACAATAACTGCAATTTGTTAAATAAAAATATATTATAATGCAGTATTTTTATTGTAAAGTTAACATTGCATTATAATGTTTGCCATATTGCAACGTGATATCGTCTCTTTATGCTGTAAATCGTTAATCTTGTAATAATTATGTCAAGCATTGTGTTCTGTCGTTGTTGGTGCCACAATAGCGAATAAATTAGAGCGTTTTGAGATATGTCAAGAATGGGCTAAGCTTTTGGATCGGCGCGCTCGCACTCGCGCGGAGATATAAACGCCCGATCGAGAAAGATCTCGCTTAATTCGCATAATTGAAATTGAAATCTCCGTCGCTATATCGTCGAATATGCAAAAATAGTATTATGTAATATACAATTCGTAATTTGCCCTAATATCTAATGACGATAATTAAATTTGTCGTACTAACAGCATTTTGCAATGATAGATTTTGAAATTGTTATATATTTTTTCTTTGCAGTGTTTTTGTTTATCATTTAAAGTAAAAAAGAGTGCGAGCAAAAGCGCATTTAGTCAATTAGAAATTATTGCGATTAATGTGATTAATATTACCCGTTTGATTGCAGCATTATTGTTACACGTTAATCTTCTCGATTAAGAAGAAATGGATATACAACTTGATAAGTTGTTATGCGTTATATGGCTCTATTATGATCGTTCTAAAGAAACTCTTCTCCGATTAGAGTCATGCTGACGTCACAAACAACGTGCCGGGTAGGGCATGAAATGCGCAAGGTAAACGTTTATTAATACCATCGTTCGCCAGGTGTGGAGAAGCTCGCCTGTTCGTATGCAGCACAACGTTTATGATTCCGACAGGTGCCACCACCTCGCGGAATGATTTGTGCGCTTCCGCTGTCTATAATTCAGGAAAGTATTGTGCAAAACTTGCTGAATCCAGATTATATAAATGTAGCAAGAAAAACATATATTTATGTACATATATACATATTTTTGCAGCAAATCTATTGAAGTTCGATTTGATTTAATTTAATTATTCAATTATATAGATTGTCATACACGCACACATCTTTTTTAACAAATATGATTAAAGATTAAAGATTCGAGATGCCTTTCCTGCCGCTTTTTAAAAATATTAATACCTTCAAAATTCTCTCTTTCCATCGATTGTGCAACTGTCAGTCAATATTGATCTCGGTAAATTTCGGCAAAGTTTCTTTTAATCAAAATTCATGAAATGAAAAAGAGTTAAATTAGTGCAAAAATTAGCTTTTATTTTCCATTTTTTAGCGTTTGATAGCCAGCAGGTCATGCTGTTTACCGCTACGGCCCTGCTGCCATCATAGCCGTGCGTACCCCACAGTCCCGCAACAAGCGATTGTATCGGAGAACTGCTGGAGAACGAGAGAAGAAAGAGGAAGGGGTCTCCATGTCGATTCAGTAAGCTCACGCACGTCGAACACTCATCAACGAAAGGCGCCGCGACGGTACATCCAAAAATGGTATTTCTCGCATAGCGATAGCCCGCCGTCGTCGGCGTTCACCAACGTCGTCACGATCCGCTCGCTGGAATTCGCTGACCGATCTGGTGGAACCTCGCAAAGCGAGTAAGAGCTAACGTAAGTCCGAGGAAGAGTCAACGTAAATAATGTATACTAGTTCGCATACCGTACGTTCCTGCGTTCTGCATGTGCGCGGTTACGTGGGTGAATGAGTGTATGTGTATATATTTCCAAAGTATTCGACCATGAGAGAGTATCCTCCGGATAAGCGCGCCGCCGTGAAATTCTACGTCGCTTCAGATGGAACGACTGGTGAACAGTGGAACTTTGTTTATCAGAATGCTCTTGGAAAAGTGCCTAAATAATTAAGTTGTGCAGGTGTTTCTCAGAGTAATCATTGAATGAAGATACCTAGTTGCATGCTCGATAATCTTTAAAAACTATCACTGAGATTAAAGACGATATAATAAAGGTGCATGAAATAAAAAATTTTGTCTCAGGAGAATCTATGAATTTAATGATCTACCGACTCAAGGACTTTAAAATAATATCAAATTCGCGCGTAAGATTTATGTTGAAAATTTTCTTTAATAAATAAAATTAATGGTCTTAATAAGCAATTCATTTGTCGGCATGTCATTTCCCAGTAAAAACGAAGTTCTGATAAATGGAGTCCTATTGTTACTCCTAAGCGCGCCGTCCCTTTGATCCATCGAGCGCAATCAACATGCGAAATGCTTTATTAAGTTAATGTACATGGAACAATCGATCGTTGTGTAAATCAGGGCAATCGCAAATTTTTTAGAAGATTTTTTCGAGTGACGTGAACGACGCGAATAAGATTCGTGCGTGCGTGAGTTCGTGCGTGGTAAGCAAAATTTGAGAGCGCAGTGAAAGTTGTGTGGTATATGTCCTAAGTAAATTTGATTCGCGATGTCATTCACGTGCGTGTGCGCGAGAGCGATCCTTATTTGAGTTCGTCTGTGACACGTTCTAATTAACATCAAGATTTTTCTTGCTCTTGTATCGCGATGCGTCTCTCTATCCTGCGTAATATTTGATCAATATATCTATAAAAGATATAATCCTCTTATTGAACAAAATTTTCCCACGATACTTTTTTTTTATTATATTTTAATTAAGCTTCTTTTCGTTACAATTTATTTTACAGATTGTTACGTATATATGCATAAAAATGTCGAAAGATTAATATTTGGATTTTAGTAGCTTATTCGCATCCTTCATTACTCAGCGAAATCAGGAAGAGTCCACTGTCTGCGCGGCTCACCGTAAATTTTTACGCACTTACGCAATAGCATCACCGGTCGGACGAGCTTTTGAGACAACAATGATGTCATTCCGCAGTGTATCACGCTGAAATAGCTCGTCGCTCTCGTGCATGTATAAATAGAAAATCACAGTGCACATCTCCGATGAAAATGTTCGCGATTGTGCATTGCGAAGTTATTGTTACAGATTTAAACTTTTGATAGCAAATTTTTCACGACTCTTTAAATACAATTAAGCATCTTGTTTCAACAATAACAGAACCGCGAATTGACCTTAAAAATAAAATCCAGTTTCACGATAATATCTCGGCACGATGCAATTTTTTTCACCGGCCGCAAGTAGACCGCTGCGATCTAAATTTAACATTAATATAAAAACTTCTTATTGTTATTTGATACACGAAAACTCTCAAGTGCTTCACGAACCGTATCGTAATTAACGGATTTCGATAATATCTTTGCGCTTTGCAAAGTTTAGGCGCTAGAAATGGACCGCTACGTTCACAATTCAAAATTAAATATTAATAAAAGAATTTTCTATCATTTTAAATAGCGCTTCGCGTGTCATTTTCGTCGTAATTAGCGAATTCTATTTCAACCGCTTTCTTACGCCGTTTCTCCTGTTAATTCAAAGTTTAAACTCGAAGTCTCCTTCAAATTAACGCAATGTGGCAATTAACAAAAAATGCGGCAGTATTGCACGCGAGGATAGACGAGGAAATAGATTATCCACACCATATTGGACCAGAGATATATTTACCACAGGTGTATGCATCACTTTCACCTCGCGCGGAATTTGCTGATCTTCTCCTCGCTTCATCGTGGATGCATAATGCACGCTCGTCAATTTTTTATCGCAGTAAATTGAGTTTCTCGTGATGGGACGACCTTAAAGGTCGGGACGGCTTATGCGCTTGAGCATTTTGCACGAGCAATCAAATGTTTCTCATAATTTATTCCTTATTCGGTGTATGCTCCACAGTTGCTTGTGCAATAATCTCCACGTTTGCTTAATCAAAATATGTTTAATAATGAATTTTTTATTATGTATTTTATTATGTATATGTTTAATTATGATTGTAACCATAAAAGTATAAAGCGTATTCGTAAACATTCGCAATCTATAAACTTGCTATCAATTTTATTTTAAGATTTAATATCGCCAAGATTCTCTTAATATCAAATATTAAAAGAATTTTATATCAAGTATACAAATATTGATCACATGACCTCATCGGCAGGAACACGAAAATGCAATCGACTGAACAGCTGCGACCGGAACAGCTGGTGGGTCTGGTGGCCCGCTCGGCCGAGGGCACGGCCGCGAAAGGGATGCCGATTAAAGGCCACGAGGACCTTTGGGTGGAGATCCAGGCCAATACTTTTCGAAACTGGGTGAACGAGCATCTGAAGCACGCCGGTGACGTAGGCGGCGGCCCCGTGCTGGACCTTGCCGAGGACTTTCGGGATGGCACGCGTCTCTGCGTTCTGGTCGAGGTTCTCACGAAACGCCGTCTGCCGCGATGGAACCCGCGACCGGCGAATCAGCACCATCATCTGGAGAATGTGTCCACGGCGCTGCAGGCTATCGAGGCCGATGGTGTCAAGCTCGTCAATATAGGTAAGCAAACTGTATTCAATGGCTCTTTGCCAAAAATGGAATTATTACTGTAGCGCGAGCGCAGTTTAATAAAAAAACTGATTGATTTGATTTATTTAAATTTATTAAGATGCACCGATTACATTTTGTGGCGATGAAACTTGTAATGTTTTTGACGTAATAGATGTGACAGGAGAAATTGACTCTTTTGCATACGATCCACAACATAGGAAAAATGCCGTGTTATATAGAGATTGATGAGAATTACAAGAGTATAACGCGAGACGAAGGCCGACCATCCGTCCATGGTCGCGCGAGATCGTCAAGGCGTTGTACGCGCTCAACGTTCAATTATGAAGCGTAATTGGAACGACGGGCGATCGTTAGGACTTCTACAATGTGTATCCATTTCGTAACTCAAAGTATCTAGTCATAATTTGCATTGCAATAAGAAGGAATTAAGTTAGATTGCCATCACTTTTCTTATCTCATAAAAATGGAAATAATTCTCGATTGATCGTAATAAACGATAGTAATCGATTAGATCATTGTATCGCTTTTTAATTTCCTAATATGTAAACTAAATGTTAATTAAGAAAAAAAATTTAATAAGCTATATTTTAAATCTTTCTGTCACATAAATTTCTCGTAGCAGCATATTAAAAAAAGGGACGAGAGCTAGTTTGTTTAAAAATCTTTTTTTTTCTTTTTTTTGGCGAAAAAAATAAGAATGATTAAATTTTAGTAATACAGATTGTATTAAAAGATATTTTATATTTCCTCCTTCTATGTAATCATGATACTTAAATATGCATAATATATACATTTTTCGAATGTACGTTTTCTTTCTTTTGTATTCGTTTGTTTCTTTTTTAGGATAACATCGTTTTCATCGATTCGTTGTAGTATTTCGCAACATGTTCGCTCTCGGTTTGTCGTCGATCGCTAACCGGTGTGTCACGTGGGAGGAGCTCCTCGTGTTCATTAACTCTCTCCACGGTGGCGTGTCAAGATGCAAGAAAAATGCGCACGCGTGAGAGACGCGTTATTAATAATGATACGCGATCAAAGTATGAGAGAGCCATCACGATGCATTCCTCGGGTAATGAGCAATCGCTAGAAACGCGCGTCTTCCTCGCCGCCGATAAAAGGACCACGTACGAATACGTTTATGCCTGACCGATCTGTACGCGTTGATCGTTTTTAATTTTTTCTCGTACGCAATACACACTTTTGTTGTGTAAATTATTAAATATATAGCGTATCGTCTCTTGATTGTAGTTCGTTGAGATGTTCTTCCACGATTTAATTCGAATTCCTTAAATTCTCTCTCTGTGATTTTCTCGAATCAACGTTTCTCTAGTCAAACCAACTACATTGAGATTCGTTTTGCAATGTACTTTCTTCGAGCACAAGTACTCGATAATCAAAATCGCTATGAATAATTATTCCGCTTTCTGATGATAAAATTATTCGATTTTTCGAGGGATTGTAGACTGCGAAAGCGTGCGCTGAAAGGATAATTTTCCTGCTCGGAAGTATCGGCGGCGATCCGGCTCATTACCTGCCGCACATTGCTGCAGATAATACGTTTTCCTCGAACTGTTACGATATAATATATAATAATAACGCGCCCTAGTGTTATCCCGTCTGTGAGTCAGCACGCGACCACACGACGACGTAATCGTTTCGAACATGCGGGTCATCATCAAGCGTCCATCTTTTAACGACGCCCGAAGGTTTGCATATCTCTGTCATGATATTTTACATCTCGTGCATGACGTCGCGAAACGTGACACACCGATATGCCACTCTGCAGATTTCCCTCGACCATGGACGGGTGCCTATTAAATTTGCAAAATTCCAGCAAACAGAAGAGAATTTTCAATTAAATATAAAATTAAAAAGATTGAAGAATGAAAAAGAAATTAAGTTCCGGAACGTTGCGCGTTCATGCATCGCGATTTATTATGCACCGTCTAAATTTTAATGATCACGCTAGTCTTTCCTTTTTGCGTCTCATACATATACCTTGCAAATCGGAACTTCGAGGTCGTTGCCTTTCTTGTGTCGCACTGTTAGCGTCTACGAGACCGCTGAAAACCACTATCGTGTCGTCGTCGTCTTTGTCGTGCATATGCACGATTGTTATGGCGCGACGCAATTCGCGATGGTATACAAATGATACAGTCTCATGAGACCAAGATGAGAGCGACGCTTATCTCGCATCTAGTAGCGAAGAATACATATGCGAGAATAGGCACGCAAATCTTAATTTTATCTTAATTATCGCACTCGCGCTTATTCGCTTTATCGCGTCAAACATCGAGAAATTCGTGGATCTCTTTAAAAATTCCTAGAAATAGAAAAATCGAATTGTGGACATCGGTAGAATATGAACTTAAAATATCTTTTCAATTTATTTAATTTTTCTATTTATATCTCTATTTTATTTATATTATATACATGCAATTAATTTAAAAACTATCGAGCAAGAACAAATAGAGTTAATGAGAGTTGTGTACCCAAGAAAAAATGGACTTGAGTAATTATATATATAATCGCATTATATACAATCACGCCAAATTTCGAATATAATTATATATGGCCATATATGATCTTATGCCCATTTTTTTCTCGGGTAGAATCATAAATTTACAGAATAAAATATTTCTATTTCTAATTGAAAATTTGATGATAAAGACTTTTTTTAAGAATCTGTGTAATTACCCAAGATTTGTTGAAACACATGTAAGTTCTCACGAGTAGCGCATCCACTTTCTATGTATACACGTGTTTGACATCCAACATCAGTCGCGATGCGAGAATCGTGGCAATAAAGAATTAAATCCTCAAATTTGTTCTTCAAAGTCATCATAAATCTTTCCCGTGCAATTAAGACTGCGGAATGATGCCGTGCGTAAACACGCGCCTTCTCTCTTTCTTTCTCGAATTAAATCGATTCTCCGTGCGTGCTAGACCGTTATTTCCAGACATAAAAAAACGAAAAAATTCAGACCGAGACGATAAATCAAATCGATTTCATTTCTCTTATAACGTTTTACCGTTCTTTATTGTTTAAACTCATGTTAACTCGATATTTTCCCCGATTTTCAGGTAACGTAGACATCGTGAACGGCAACCTAAAGCTGATTCTGGGCCTTATATGGTCACTCATCGTGCGATATCAAATTGGCAAGTCCAAGTTCCCGCCGAGGAAACTCATGCTCGCATGGCTCAAGGTCAGTATGTGCGCGCGATATAATTGCTACCGTCGAGGTCGTGGCATCGCGGCCGTAAACCAAATACAGAGATACTATTACTTTACTCGTGCTCAATCTGGCACACGCGCGTATGTCCACGTACATTCATACATGTGTGTATTAATATTACGCGAGTAAACGCGAGTGTTTCCGTTACGAAAGAGTTCAGAGACGCCGACCGCATACGTTACGCGCTTACATAGTCGCGCGTAAGATAATAATATGTATGTATATGCATGTTAAAATTTATGCTTTTGTCCGACCTTTGGATATCTCAGCTCGTTCGATTTTATAATAACCGCACGCTAATAATCGTAGAGAGATAATTTATAAGACGACGCCGCCACATTTTGATTAAAAGCGATTCTATATTTCAGGCTGCTTTGCCGGAATGCAGAGTCAATAATTTCACGACCGACTGGAACTCGGGCGTGTATCTGAGCGCGCTATTGGATTATTGTAAGCCCAATCTGTTCCCCCATTGGCGACAACTCGATCCGAATGATAGGTAAAATAAATAATAATAATAATAATAATACCTTTATTGAATGCACAATATAAACAGAGGAAGAGTATAAATGCCACACATCAAAAAGCGAGGCATCAGCAAAAATGTTGCGCTTTTCAGTTTAAATATATTATATTAATTCATAATCAAATCATTACAAGATGATGAGAGAAATATTCTGTATATTAATATAAGAAAGAATATTTAAATAATAGTATATATAACTAACAATAAGAGTAATTGTGATAAGTGCAAAGTGCAGTAAAACTATGAGAATAAGATATAAATTATATATAATTGATATATAATATTATTTATTCTCTTTAGAATACATATCTTATACATCAAAATTGTATGATGCACATCGCATTGTTTCTGTAATCTTAAAAAATTGACCTCGACAAATAACGGAAACTAATTACTATAATATAATGCCATGTATTTTATATTCCTATTATCTTAAAACATCATTATATTAATTCACGTAAATTTGCAGTGTTTACAACTGTCGCAAGGCCATGGAGATATCGAAACGGGAGTTCGATATTCCCATGGTGCTGGAGCCGGAGTATCTAGCGTCGCCGTACTTGGACGAGCTCTCGGGGATGACCTACTTGTCGTACTTTATGAAGGAAGGTTCGCCGGGCTTCCACGCAACGCTACGATGGGTCAATTCGCAATTATCACATACCTCGATACGGAACTTCACGGTGGGTGGAGTTGAGGTGTCTCGGCTTAACAGTACTTTGGTATATAATGGAGCCTACGGTGATATTCAATTATTCCGCTTTCACAGACGGACTGGAACGATGGTAGAGCTCTCTGCGGAATCGTCAGAAATCTGGGTGGTCCGGCACTACCCTACGAAAAACTCGATACCGACCCGTCTGCCTGGGAACATAATTTGCAAATGGGTAAGATATTCATAAATGTATTCTCCAACACATTTTGATGTAAAATAATAATATATAAATTATATATAT